CCTCGCGGCTGCTCACACAGCAGGAGGGCCCCGAGCAGGGTCAGGACCCAGGTAGCCGGGCTCCAGTGCTGCCCTGAGGATTGGCGTGGCCAGGGTCTGCGGGCTTGGCCTGGCTGCTGCGGCCGGCCTCCTTCCTCCCACTCCTCCTCTGCCTCCCCTGCTGCCCCAGTGGCCTCCTCCTCAGCTGCACCCCCGGCCGCCAGGCTTGCTCTCCACTCAGCCGCCCCAGGGACCTTGCCAGAGGACAGGCCACGCAGTCACCTCCTAGGGCTCCCTCATGCCCTCGGGATAAATCCAGACACCCCCCCACCCCCCACCCCGTCAACCTGGCCTTGGCCCTAGTCCCCACTGGTCCCTCTCGTCCATGCCCTGGTGCCTACTCATCCTGCAGCCCAGAGCTCACGGCTGGCGGAGCCCTCCCCTGAGGCCCTCTCCCTTGCACAAGCTGCTGGGCAGGTTCTGACTCACCCTGAGCCTCCTCCCCAGGCCCCTCCTCAGGCCGCAGGGTTTGGTGAGTGAATAGGAACAGCTCCTGGATCTTCCCCGGCCCTAAGAAGGGGATGTGGAACCCTTGGACACAGCCCCCTGTAGTGGGCTAATGGTGTCCCACAGAAAGATCTGCCTCTGTGGTGTGCCACGGCGCACACCTAGGATCCCATCAGCCCGGGAGGCTGAGGCAGGAGGATCTCAAGTTCAAAGCCAGCCTCTGCAACTTAGCAAGGTCCTAAGCAGCTCAGTGAGGTCCTGGCTGGGGATGTGGCTCCTGGATCCGATCCCTGGGGTGGGCGTGGGGTCTGGAGGCGCAGTTCAGTGGCAGAGCACCCTGGGTGGTCTTCCCGGTAAGAGAAAACTGAAGAAATCTGTTCAAGTCCCAATCTTAGGACTTTAGGAAGGTGACCTTATTTGGAAGTAGGATCTTCGTAATGCAGTCAAGTTCCCATGAGATCCTCGTGGATGAGGGTGGCCCCAAATCCAATGACTGGTGTCACAGGACCCGAGAGGACACACATAAAGAGGAGGCTTCAAGGAGCGCCCCCAGCCTCACAGGGAGCACAGCCCGGGGACGCCTTGACTGGGGCTGGGACCTCCAAGGCTGTGGGCTGAACCCTCCGTGGCGCTGAGCCGCAGGTTCGTGGTATGTTTAGAGCGACCTAAGAGGCCATATATCACCCAACTGGGGACCTCAGAGGGCGCGAGGCCCGAGGAGCGGGCAGAGGGAGTCTGCCCACGGGAACACCTGGCCCAGCCTCTCCCAGTGTAGAGGGGCCACCAGGGACCTGGGCCTGCGCCCTTCTTCCTGGGTGCTAGGCACCCACGCTTGCCTCACTGGTAAAGGCTGTGCCTCGTAGCAGGGTTTCTAGAAGACAGACAGAATGGACCCTCTGCTCAGCAGATGCCGACAGGCCAGGGCTGTGGGTAAGGACCAGACTTGGCTCTGCTTCATTGGAAAAGCTGTAGGGGCTGGATGTGGAGGCCTGCGACTCTGGAGGCTGAGGCAGGAGGGTCCCGGGGAGGCCTCAGTAACTTAGCAAGGCCCTAAGCAACTGAGCGAGACTCGGTCTCAAAACAAGAAATTTAAAAGGGCTGGGGCTGGGGCTCAGTGGTCAAGCACCCCTGGGTCCCATCCCCAGGCACCCCCAGCCCTGCCCACCGCAAACCGAGCTCTCTGTGCCGTCACATCTTGCTGGAGAGCATTGAGTTCCAGATCCCAGCTTTACATTTTTTTTTTAAAGAGAGAGAGAGAATTTTTTAATATTTATATTTTTTTAGTTTTCGGTGGACACAACGTCTTTGTATGTGGTGCTGAGGATGGAACCCGCGTGCCAGGCGAGCGGCTACCGCTGGAGCCACATCCCCAGCCCCCAGCCCTACATTTTTTTAAATGAGAAAATAAATTGCCGTAACATTATGAAATGAAAAATTGAAATCAGAGAGGAGTCGGGGCACCCCAGATCCAGCTAGACTCCCCCATCCAGCTCAGGGGACACCATGAGTCACCTCGAGGTCACTCAGGGGGCCCAGCTGTGCCCAGAGGTGGCCCTGGCCGCAGACCTGCCTGCCTGGACACTGGCACAGAGGCGGCTGTACAGCCCTTTGTTTCCTGGACTTGGTTTTAAGGAAAATCCAGGGGAGGGTCTAATGGCCCTGCAGACCCCACAGCTCCCTGCCGGCCTCTCCCCCAGCCACAGCCCCAGGCCGCTGCCCAGACACCAGGCGACTTCCACCAGAGGAGTGGGCGGCGGAGTGAGCCGCTGGCCCGAGCTAGGCCACCGTCCCTGGTGACGGCTGAAGCATCCACCTGGCCTCTGAGGCCTCCAGCAAGGTGTGGGTGAGGAGAGGGACAAGGAGCCTCCGCGGGGAGAATCTGCCAGGGCACCTGACCAGCTGGTCCCGGTGACATCAGCAGAGGGACCACGGGCCCCCTGGGGACCCCTGCCCTGGGAGAGACACCCCTGCCTCTGCCGTCTGCCAGACCTGCGCTGTCAAACTGAATTGCAGGAAAGCCCAGACCAAGGGACCATCTTGCGACAACTGGCCTGGACCCTTCCCAAGTGTCAAAACACGAAGGACACAGACAGGCCAGGCGGGGGCTGCCCAAGAGACAGGACAGGTCCAGGCCTCTCCATCCCCGGCTCCCAGGCGCTGCGCAGGACCCCCAGGACAGTGGGGAGATCTGTCTCCACAGGACACCCTGGTGGGGAGGGGACCCAGGACATCGAAAAGGATCTTCCTCTCCTTCTTTTAAAAATTTTAAACATCCTTCTCCCTAGGAAACATATGCAAAAATATTCAGCAGTAAGGGCCGGGGTGCAGCCTTGAGGCCCCCCAGGCCGCATCCTCAGTGTGAGTGTGTGTGAGTGAGTGTGTGTGAGTGTGAACGGAGAAGACAGGGACATAAACTCCAACACACTGGGCAGTGGGAACGTAGAAGCCGGCTCCACGTGTTTTCCATGCAACTTTGGGCGGTTGAAATTATTTTAAAATAAAACATTTAAACAACCTAAAAATAAGCCTCCCTGGACTGCAGTCCTTGTCCCTTTTCATCTCAGTTCCACCTCTCACAAGCCCCGGAAACCACCTTTATTAGTATGTCGCCTTAAACTTCCAGAGTTCAGTGCAAATACAAACAAGGGTGTCACTCACTGGGCTCCCACCTCTCCTCCTGCAAGGGGAGCTGCAGGCCCTTTGCACCTGGCCATGTGGCTCAGTGGGGCACTTCCCCGCCGCCTCATGATACCCCCCCCGCCCCCGCATCCCCAAAACAGCTCTTCCAGGGCTCCCAGGAGCCAGCTCTGGGCTGGGTGAGCACCACTCCAGTCTCATCCCCAAGGCCAC